GTGGTCCTAAATTTTGAATTGGACCTGATAATAAAATTTAACTATGTTTATTTTTTTATTGTTCATAAAAGAAAAAAAAAATTACGATAACAGATATTTCAATCACAATTAATTGAATTATGGTGCTACAACTTGATACAGAGATCAGGCGGAACTCCAGCTATTGATGCAAACAATTTAAAGTACAAGCAAATATGAAGAGAATATATGATAGTAGTGGTGTTTAAAATAGCTTTAATTGTCGGAGCAAATAATTTGTTTTTTAAAAAAAAATTTTTCATTTTTATAAAAATAGATCACCAATAAAATTATAAAACTGCGGTTAAACTTGGGTTTGAACTGCGGTTCAGATCGCGGTGGCAAACCGCCGGTCGGTGCGGCTCACTAGCCAAACTGGCAGTTTATAAACCGAATCGAACCGTTCCCATCCCTACATTAGACCTTTATTTAGTAGAAATTAATGAAAATTATCCCAAGTACAAAGTGGGAGGATTATCCCAGATTGGGAGAATAATCCTAACTTGAGAGAATAATCCCAAACTGGGAGAAACATCCCAAATTGGGACACTAATTATTCAACATGTATATAAGGAATGAGAATTCACTGCAATCAAAGAATAACTTTGTAACAAATTAACTTAATAATAAGTTAATACAGTTCACTCTCTCTATAACGGCCCACCTGATTTGGCAAAAAAAGGCCGTTATAGAGAGTTTGCAGATCATAGTCATGTGATAAATTATAATGCGATACAATATATTTTGGGAGTTGTTATTCGCACCCCTCCCGTGACTAAGTGTATTAATGTGACCAATGAATGGCTTTAAATGTGATGATTTTATTGGTTCATCTTTGTCTTAGTCACGGGAGGGGTACGAATAACAAAAATGGGAGGTGCGAATAACAATTCTCTTTTTTTATTATTTAATTAAAAAATTTTACTTACTGTATTTGTTTAAAATTAAATTCATTATTTTCGTTAACAAAATATCTCGATCTCCAATCGATCCCTTCTATTTCTCTAAGCTTAGCCTCATTGCGTTGATTATCTTCAATCAATGTTTTTTCATCTGTAGCAAGATCCAAATTTCTCCCTATCAAAGCACTTGTAACTTTTGACCATAACCTAGAATAAACAATTTCATTAATGAATCATAATCTGGAACCAGGAAGGAGGATGAATATATTATTTCTATTTTTAACTTTACCATATTCTTTAAATACTTTAAATACTTTAAATACATAAAAATTATATATATTTGTTGTAATTATCATTATAATCTTTTATTATTATTAATTAATATCAAAATAGACAAGATTTTATATAAAGAAAAAATCAAAAACTTTTTTTTTTAATTCATTTGTTCATTAATTTTTGATATATATGTATATATTGGTTATTATATTATATATATATATATATTCTCAACAACAACACACATATATAAATAAAGATAATAATACCAAAAAAAAAATTTATTATTTCAGATTTACCTATTAATATAAATAAATCATTAGATGCTGAGAAATCTCATATTTTATAAATAGATAAAAAAACAATAAATTGTTATACATAAAGAATAAGTTAGGCAAGTTATTGTAGATTGAGTAGATTGAGTAGATTAAACGAACTGGATAGATTGACAAATTGAATGATGATCGATTGATTGAACAAGTTAGACATAAATCTGATATATTGAATTGTGTGCATATTGACTGAATGTGCTATATAGTTGAAAAGGATAGATTCATCTGTCGATTCTTAATAATTTAAGAATAATTAATTAAATTTATTTTTTAAAAAAAATTTGGCTTTTTTTTCATGTGTACAAATAAAAGTATGAAATCAAAAGAGAGAGGTATGTAGATAGATAAATAGATAGGTAGATAGAAGATATGTAGGTAGGCAGGTAGGCAGGTAGGCAGGTAGGTAGGCAGGCAGGCAGGTAGGTGCAGAGGTCTATTGCTCCAATTGGAATCCAACTCCAAATTTCGATGTATTCTAAATTTTTTTTTATTCAAAAAAAATATTAATTAATATAATTAACTATGGTAGGATTATTTATTATTATTAGTTATAAACAAACAAACCTTCATGTGTTCAATATCACCAGTGACAAGAAAACTAAATCCAGGGACAATCTTTTGTTCTATCACCGCACTTACACGACCAGTCGTATCTACCTATAATTTAGTTGAATCATATGTATGGTAGTAGCGTTAGTTGTCGATTCACCATAAAATTGTGACAAAAATTTTATTAGTGATAGCAGCAAATCGATTGTTCGAAAATAAAATTTTTTACCTGTCCTCTAAACGTTGCGGCTCTAAAATCGAATTTTCCACCCTTGAAAACAAATTCGAACAATTAGCAACGGCTTTGGATGGCTGCTGGACAAAGCGAGTGAGAGTGAGAGAGACTAACACCAGAGATGATGATCAGCTACATACTACTGTACACACAGCTTCTCTTCGACCAGCTGCTAAAATAATCTGAAGTTCAGTTCCAAAATCCACTTTTTCATTAATTTTTTGATAGTAAGAAGCCTGTAGAGCACCAACTTCCTGCCATTGGACTGTTGTGACGTAATCATTTCCGCTGTATTTTAAAACCAATGATTTCGATGTTTCTTCGATGTCGGGCGTCGGCTTCTGATATACCGTTTCAACTCCCATGGCAAGTTTTTGCGTTACAGATTGAAAATAACTCATAACAAAAATACCAGTTTGTTCCACTGGTGATGGGTTAATAGTTTTACAATTGACGGAATAATCTGAACCCTGATAATCTTGTTCAAGTTGAAGCATCGAATGCCCTGGTGTAGGCGATACCTTTATAATAATATTTATTATTGTTAGTTAAAAGAAGATTTATATATTAATTTATATTTTATATTATTATATTGAAATTCCCTTATATTTTAGATAGATATTTTCTCACATGAGCTTGTATTTTTGTCACATTGTTTGCATTCCATCACTCGCTTTGTCCAGCAGCCATCCAAAGCCGTTGCTAATTGTTCGAATTTGTTTTCAAGGGTGGAAAATTCGATTTTAGAGCCGCAACGTTTAGAGGACAGGTAAAAAATTTTATTTTCGAACAATCGATTTGCTGCTATCACTAATAAAATTTTTGTCACAATTTTATGGTGAATCGACAACTAACGCTACTACCATACATATGATTCAACTAAATTATAGGTAGATACGACTGGTCGTGTAAGTGCGGTGATAGAACAAAAGATTGTCCCTGGATTTAGTTTTCTTGTCACTGGTGATATTGAACACATGAGCTTGTATTTTTGTCACATTGTTTGCATTCCATGCATAATTCATACGCGCTGTTAAACTACCATCTGTATCAATTGTACCATGAAGAAATGACTAACATTACATACACACATAGATTTTATTGAAAATTTGAAAAATTATTAAATTATTAAATCAAATAATTAAAATTAAAAATAATTGATACTAACTTTCGCACCGATAAAAGCAGCACCAAAATTATACAATGGAGGAGTTACCGTGGAACCCATAGAAAATGAATGTGTGACTTGCATGTTTTGTGATAAGACTTTAGTAAGGTCGACTCTAGCACCATCGAATAAATGATTCGTAAGGAATGTCGCTGCAGTGGTAAAAAAATTAAAAGAAACAAAGACCATATGTTTGGAAAAGCTCTTAGTCAATGAATACGCGTATAATCAATCCTTTTAAAACCCTGGACGCGATCTTTACATATTTAATGATTACCAATGATTTTAACCACAGGCTTTTTGCTTAAATTTATGTATATACACACACACACACGCACGCACACATATACAAATTTTTGTCTCTCGCCTTTTCTTCGATCGATTATATATAATTCATACCTTTAACCTCGCGATGTAGATTTTCAAAAGTGCCCGGATTGGGCAAATTTAGTTTCTTTCGATAATCTGATATGTTTTTAAATAAGGAAACAAACCCCCATGATGATGGTGTAGTAGTAGAATCAGGAGTATTAGGAGTTATCGTTGAAGTTGAAACTTTTTCACCCAAGCCGGTCATGTTTTTTAAACTTTAAAATTATTCTTCTAAATTATTCTTCTAAAGAAAAAAAAAATTTAAAATCAATTTTATTTCAAATCTAAAAAAATTTTTTGTGTGCAACTATGTGTATTTTAATATTGTGAAAATTTACAGACAAAAAATCATTCAGGTAAAAATATTTTTTAATTTAGGATTTATATTCTCCATTTTTTTTCCCATTCTTTTCATTCTTCCATCGTTCTCTACATACTTTAATTCAATTATTATTATTATTAAAAAGATGCCAAGAGAGATAACATTGGAAACAGCAGTAGAAACAGCAGCATTAACATTATTAGAATTTGTATCACCTGATCTAGCAGCATTAGCAACTACAGCATCTTCCTCCTCCTCCTCCTCTTTACCATTGAGAAACAAAATAAATGACGGCAATGATGAAAGTTCGACAGAGTTACAAAACAGTTTAAATGATTCAATACCTTTTTTATCTGAAGGTTTTCTAGTGAGCTGGTTGCCAATTATAAATCAAATAGAAAGTAAATTAAAGGAATTGATGTGAGCATATTAATTAATCGATTGTATTATTATTAGGTATTATTAATAATGATGATGATATTTGTAATTTCAGGGAGAGACAAAAATTATTATTGGAAGAAATAAAATTAACAAACACCAAATTAGAAAATCAAGATCATTATGAATACATTGCATTAAGTGTTTGTTTTCATTCATTCATTCCTTTTGAGTGTATAATATATATATAAGAATTGTTTCTAAATCAAAAAATTTTTTATGAAAAAAAAGTTTTCCAAATTACCAAAATATCTTTCAAAACTTCAATCCATACGTAAAACCATGATTACAATTTCATCATCAACTAAAATTCTAAAACACAGAGCTAATCAATTGAAACTTATCAAACAATACCAATTAAATCAATTTGCTAAAATTCATGAACGCGAAAGAAATTTTGATCAAACAGTTTTAGCAGCAAAAGTTGTTAATCCAAATCAACTTTTACAACAACAACAACAATCAAAATCAGACAACATAACTGATTTGACAAGTAATAATTTTAATATCAGTGACATTGATAATAGTAGTGTTAGTGTTAGTAGTAGTAGCATTAGCAGCAGTGGCGTGAAACCTAAAAGTAAAAAGAATAAAAAGGAAAAAAAGGAAAAAAAGGAAAAAATGATTCCAAGGAGAGAAATTGATTTTGGTTCATCATCATCCTTCAGTATCGATGAGAATAATTAATCAGTTAATTGTCTATTTATTTAAAGATTTGGTGTTGTTAATTCATGTAATTAGTATAATCATCAAATAAAATACAATGATATTGTTATTATTAAAAATGAGAATATTATATGGTGGTGAAATGGAAAGATATAAATTGAAAAATTTATAATTCATATAGATGATCTAATAAATAAAACAGCAAAGTTAAATAATGGATCTAAAAGAAATGGAAGAAAAAGAAATGGATCTGATATTAACAATATAAATAACATTCTATTAGTTGTTGAATCACCTCAAAATCCTGTTATACCTCTTTGGGGACTATCTTTACATAAAATCAGTAAGATTATAAAATGCAGATTTTCTTTGTTAAAGAATTGTTGGTTATTTTCGAAAAACACTTTTTTCAAGACAAAATCAAAGCAGCAATCACATTGCTATTGATAATATCATTTATTGTTTGGTTAGCAGTTAACGAACACATAATTTACCATCTGCTATGATATCTGTTGTCACAATAAAATAGTGAACATTCAATAAAAAATTTCTTTTTAACAAAAACACAAAAGTTTTAAATTTACTTTTATTCTTTCTGGTAGCAATATTTTTCTTTTTCTATAAAACCTGTGTGTTGAGTAGTTATTGCTACTTTTTTAACTTTTTGGTAAATAACACTTTTGATGGTTCTTTGACACTTTTCACATTTTAACTTTTGGGATAAAAACTGTGTATAGAATAAATTGAATTTGGAAGTGAGTTAACATTAAAAAAAAATAATATTTTAGTTGTCTTTTACAAAAGAAACTTCCTGGTATATTAAGCAAACTTTTATTATTGCCCAATTCCAAATCCCGGTGGTAGTCATCCCAAATTCGTCCCAAAGTCCCAATTCCAGTTCCAAAGTTCCAAATATTATTTATTCTTAATATTAACAAAAATTTATTTAATTCTCTATGTACTCTATTTAAAAAGCATCAACATCAAAATTAATATCACATGCTCAATAAACTCTTAATATTTCTATATCTAAACATTAAGTATTTTCCCCACCTATATCCAAAGGTTCATCACTATCATCAATATCGGATTCAATCAAGTTGTCATCATAATCTTCATTTCATTATCATTAATCATAACATTTGCTATTTCATCAAATGTATTAGATCTTTTGATACTTTTGTTTCAATTAGTAATCAGAAGAGTGTGAATTTTTGCCACACTTTCTAAATGTGCTACATTAATTTTAATATAAATGTAATATAAGCAAAGAGGATTAAAATCATTATAAGAATCATAAATGTAACTTCCCATGTACAAAAGTGGTTATGGCAATAATTATTGATCCTCAACATTCTTATATAAAATAACTATATATCAATATGCTAGAGTTCAAATAATTATGGAAATAATTTTGGCAACTATTAAAGTTAATTATGGCAACTATGAGAGACTAATTATGGCATTACAGATACAGTGATGATCACTTATTAAGAATGGCGAACAATTAATTATAGAATAGAAAAAAAATGTTCACACAGGCCTCATTGTGTGGAGTGATGGCAGCTAATTCTAAAGCTAAAACACAAATGAAATCTTGATTCACAAGAATTCAACCAATTTCTAACATTATCTCTATTTTTATATAATGATGTTTGTGTATATAAAATATCAGCACTGGTTGCACCACCAAATTAATTCCCAAATTAAAAAATATTAGTTATTTGATTATTAAGACTGCCAAATAAAAATTGATTTTTACTTACTGTACAGTAAAGAATTTGATGATGTATGCTTTTCTGTAACATTCAATTCTTTAAATCAAAAAAAATATTTGATGTAAATATTACTTGCATCATGAGCATCCTGGATACGATGGTGAGTATTGGACAACAATTTAAAAGAAAAAAAAAATAAGCTCTTTTTTTCTAACTGTCATATTATTCCAGCTTTAAACTCATACTTGAAGGAGAATACAGTATAGTCCATACTGAGTTTTTAATCTTCACAAAGACATTATCATTTCCTCGCCCCCTTTTTTAGACGATTGGAGTTTTCTTGACCTCACTTGATCTCGTAGATTTTTGTAGGAAGCAAAAAAACTGAATTCCAACAATTTAATAGCTTTAAAAGAAAAGGTGATGTACTTGTATATTTATTTGTAATAGGGGCTCCAGTCTATTCTTGTCTGGACTAGGAGTATTTGCTCTCATTCCAGCCTGAGTGATGGTGCTGGCAGCTTCAGTCTATTCTTGTCTGGACTAGGAGTATCAGCTCTTATCATGGCCTCACCATTGCGATTTACTTTTTTTTTTTTTAATGGTTAAACCTTTTACTTGTATTATAAAAACTAGACACTAATTTTTCTTCATATATCTATGGTAAAAAAACAACATGGAAACAAAAATTTACAGCCTTATTGGGAAGAAATAATTTATGAGTGGAGAAAGGTTTTATTATCATTTATTTTATGAAATTGTCATACAAATAATAATGGATCTCTTTATCATTGATTTCAAACATGAACAACACTGATCTTGTAACAGATGGCAGTAAAATGAGTACATCTCATTGGTAGTACTAATCTATATCATGAAGCTGCAGAGAACAATGCCCAAGAAATTATATCTGAAGGCTTTTCCAATGTTTTTGTCAAGCATCCTCTTGAGAATGATTCTATAAATAAACTCAAAAGAAAATCTCAAAAACAAGCCCACCTGCTAAGAAAACACACATCCTGGAATGGAAGTTTTTGAATGATGAAAAAGCCATCGCTGATGTATGTGGCTGCAAGCTTTCTAACTCCATATCTGATTATTTAAACTGCCAAAAATAACTAGAATTTATGTATACTGTACAGGAATGGATTATTGAAAATCACAGTATAACAAAATCGTTTTTAGACTTTATGAATATGGCCATCTCTTTGGCTAATGAAGGTAAATAGCATATGCTGCTCACCCATCAGGAATATTGTTAATTATTTTTTTAACTTTCTTTTGATGTAGACACTTCACAGAGATAGTCAAATATAAGATCACTAAATTCAATTTTTTATGGAAGAGAATCCCATATGAACAAGACTTGATATCCCGCCATCCATTAGAAAGCAAGCTTTTGGCCAGATGAAAATTTTATATCAAAAAAATAATCTAAATAAAATTATTAAAGGCTTCAGAGAAAGTGATAAAGACACTCAATAGAACAGTCATATTATAAACTTAAAGTGAAATTAGATGATCCTGGTAAAAAATTGTTAAGAAAATGCCAGAATGTGTGGAAACATCTGTAGGTTAATTTCTTCACTTGTATTTGTTGTTAGTGATCTAAGCAATTCCCAAATTTAAATATATTAAAACTCAATAGTTGTGAGAATTGGAAGACTTCATTTGATGACAATCGAACAGTAGAAGATATTTGTGTTCATGAATTATTGCATCCACTTTTAAAGCCATTCTTCACTATTGAGCAAGGACATGATATAAACTGGTAAAAATATTAATGGTCAATTTATGTTGTGTTGGACATTTAAAATTCATTATTTTAATGACACCTGTTTATTTTACTACAGGGCTAACAAAGATGTCTGTGTCAAGTGCTGAACGAAAATGTAATGAAGAAGGTGATGGTCATAAGCTTGATTTCATGATCTCTGTAGACATAAATGGTGACGCTGATAAATTTGAAACATTATATGGATTATTTAAGTCTCCAATAAAGCTAATACCTATTTAGCGAATGTAGATTTAATGAATGATTCCCTTAATAAACTATATACTAAATATATTACTGAACTTGACATGGCAGTTTTAGTATACATTGTTTTGGTATGGTATTTTTAACCTTAACATTCTTTTTTTTTATGGATGTGTTTATCTGATATTTCTGAAATTTTTTTACTGGCAGGCCACAATTTAAGGATATACGGAATGGATTTAACTTATGATGGTTTTTACAGAATGTACATGTCAGGTGAATTTGAGTTGCCAAGATCCAATATTAGTTGTTCATTAGTTGAATATGCATTGTGTGAAATTGAAAATCTAAGGATAGATATTATTATGTCAAAATGGCTTTTTTAAAGTAAATATTAATTAACAATTACAGTTATTTGTTGAAGAGCATATAAGCAGAATACTGCCTTATTTATCAACAACTGATAATTATCATACATCAACAAAGAAACAATGCATGACTCGACCAACTATTCCTACACCAAAAAAGAAGATTTTTTCCCATTTCAGTAATACCACAAGTACTTTTATAAGACTTCTAAATTTTTTGTAATTACCAGGTTATGTTACAATAATTATTGGAATTTGTCAGGTGAATTTGAGTTGCCAAGATCCAATATTAGTTGTTCATTAGTTGAATATGCATTGTGTGAAATTGAAAATCTAAGGATAGATATTATTATGTCAAAATGGCTTTTTTAAAGTAAATATTAATTAACAATTACAGTTATTTGTTGAAGAGCATATAAGCAGAATACTGCCTTATTTATCAACAACTGATAATTATCATACATCAACAAAGAAACAATGCATGACTCGACCAACTATTCCTACACCAAAAAAGAAGATTTTTTCCCATTTCAGTAATACCACAAGTACTTTTATAAGACTTCTAAATTTTTTGTAATTACCAGGTTATGTTACAATAATTATTGGAATTATGGAATTATATACAAAAATCAAGATGTTATTTATATACAATATATGTATATTTAAATAATTTGCTTTTCTCCAAGATAATGTGATTTTATCATTAATAGAATAAAAAAAAACAGCATTTATGCTTTAATTTGAGGCATCTGAAAATTTTTGACAATTGAATTTTATTTAACTAAGGTAGACAGATGTGTATGTGGATATATGTATATTATATTGATATAGTTGTATTTATTGTATTAATTTTGTTGCTGTTGTTACTACTATAGACGTCCAAATATTCTTTGTTTATATAGACGTTTCTGTCAAGAAAACCATGTATTTCTGATTCTTGAATATGGAGCTATGGAGAAATTTATAAACATCTTAGAAAGTGTACCAGATTTACCAAAAAGTATGTGTCAAGGGTTTGTAATTCCTCCTATTACTGTATTAGTTGTGAACAAAAGATACTAATTCAATCAGTCAATATGTTATTGTGAATTAGTAATATATCACTCAGGTGGCACATGCTTTAATTTATCTTCACCATAAAAAAATAATCCGTCGAGATATTAAGCCTGAAAATCTTTTATTGGGTCTAAACAATGATCTTAAAATAGCTGACTTTGGTTGGTCAGTACATGCTCCTGGTCAAAGGTAGAAGATGGATTTAATTATAATTATTGTTATAAAAATGTCTAATTATTTATTGTCAATTATAATAATATATCTATCACTATAAAAAAATATATAATAAGGCATAGAACACTTTGTGGCTTGTTGTTGTATTATCTTCACCAGAGATGGTTGATAGTCTAATTCATGGTTCAAGGGCTGACTTGTGGAATCTCGGAGTTTTATGTTATGAACTGTTGTTTGGTACAGTTCCATTTTCAGGACCAGGTGGTTGCAAAGGTACACACAAAAGAATAGTGAGAGTGGAATATTCAATGCATGATCATATATCAGAAGATGCCAAACATTTTATTAAATTGGTAACTTCTATCTTTACTGCCATACTAATTATTTTCAATATTTACAAAATAAATCATCTCCTCTCTAAATATTTTTATTACCTCTAAAGAAAAAAATAGCTACTTCAAAAAATCCTGATCAACGATTATCCTTGGAAGAAGTTTTGAAACATCCTTGGATTTTAAAGCAATTAATAATTATAATAATTATAACTATACCTATATTATTAATATTAGAAGGAAAGAAAGTAGAAACAGAAAATAAAGAAAAAAACTTCATCAGATTTCTGTTCATAATAAATCTTCATAAAAAAAGATTCTTCTTTCAGTGCTTTATTTTCATTCTTCTGAGAAGAAAAGTAAAGCAATAATCCTCAATAATTGTGCATTAAATATAATCATCATTTGAAGTATATAATTTTTTTAAAAAAAAGAATAAATTATTAAATTTTATTTTTATTTCAATATTTAATTAAACCAATCCGATTGCAAACTATATATAAATAAAATCTTTAAGGAATTATTAATGTTATTATAATCCTTTCAATTTTTTAAAAAATCTTTCGTCATTTGGTCAAATTATATTTCAATAAAAATAAAATTAAATATTATTCCAAAAGTATTAATTCTAAATTGAAAATTTTTTTTTATATTTGTGGGTTGGTGTTACGTCAGAATCAGCATGCAAAAGATACTCCAATTTTCTAGTAATAGTGAAAAATTTTACACTCCATATCTTTTTCTCAACGGATTCCAGATAGTATATGCTCTAATAATGCTAAAAAATGAACAACGCAGTGATTGATCGTAAAATTATCAAAAATCTGTCCTTATTATTTAACAGCACGTTTTCTCTTTTACCTCAACTAAAGAACATCTATATAATAATGGTAAATAATAGATCGTTACAATAGATATGATGATTTTATGATAACTACTTCTGTCCTCTAAAAATATATCCTTGCATAAACTTGAAATTCGTTCTAAATTTCTTTCCTTCCGATATAAATTATTTTTAAATTGCGTAATGATCTTCAAGCCAATAATATTATGATTTCTAATTCGTAACCACGTGATTCAAGCGATGACGTAACGTGATTTTTAACAAATTTTTTTTTTATTGGTATTTCATAGTTTCTATAACAGTAAATTTTATATTAATATTGATTTTCATTATTGAGCTTTATATATTTATCCCATGAATTCAGTCCATCAATATTTAAAGTATTATCATCTAGTTCATTTAAATCTTTTTTGGCTATAAAATGTCAGAATTTACATTAATTATTTTTTATCTACGAGTTGCCACAAGCTTCAATATCACATGCTTGTTTCTTTTGTCTTTATTTATAATATTCAGTGTAGAGACTTTTTTTAATTCAGGGTTATCATTAATAGTAGTCGTAGTTTCATTAATGGGTTGAAATGTACTTCTAGTTACAGGACGTTTTGTAGTGACATTCCTAACTGCTGTACTTTTACGAGGCATATTTGATAAAGATAAAGAAAATAAATATATAATGATACTTTGAATTTGTTTATTTGTTTATTATAAATCAAAGATCTTACTTTAATATTAATAAACTATAATGCAAAGTTTATAAGTTTTTTAATTTTCTATGTCCTACAAAAATTTAGCTTTTTTAATTTAATAATAAATGCGTAAAATAATTTAATAATAACATTTACAATTTACTAGTGATTCTTTTTAAAATAAAAACTTTTTTTTTCATAAAACATGTTTCTAAAACAGACTAGAACTGACAAACAACAACAAGTATCTGATTTCCGTTTGCGTAAACCCAAATGCATATGAGTAAAAGATCTAAGTGATGCGACCTCTTCATCTGCAAATACCAATATTGGTTCTTTGTTGCCTAGTTTAGCATCAAGTTCTTTAACTATACAAGAGCAAGCTCAAGATATATATGAAGAAAATGAGATCCTGTCACTACAATCGGAACTAAGTGAGGACTTTCCTATAAACGGTGGAAATGATTTTTATGACAATATTTCTAGTGAAAATCAAAATACAAATAGAACAAATCAAGAGTTTGATGAGCAAGTGTATGATGGAAATGAGAAGCAAAATTACTACTCTGGAGATACAGGGCCATATTTTCCAAACTTTACTATATTTTTGTTATTTTTATGGGTTACAAAACATCAAATAGGTATATGACTAATTTTACACTGCTTGGAAGCAAATTACATAATTTATTTAATTTATTTTTAAATCAGGTTTAGAAGCATACAAAGATTTTGCAAATATTTGTCAAACATCATAAATTCAATTCATGTGATGTTCCGTTCTCACTTACAACCATTAAGAAGTACCATAATGGTCTACCACTCCTTCCATTTAAAGGCCACGCTGTTACCCTCAACAATCGCAACATGCCATCCACTTTTAAATCCGTTGGTCAAACTTTAATTTTTCCTTTAAAAAACATTCTTCATTGTGTACTATCAAATCCACAGTTGTGTAAGAACATGTATTTTGGCCCAGGTATACACAGTGAAAACGGGCATGAATTATGGCATGGAGACCTTTGGCAAAAATCACCATTATTTGGTGGGAAAAATATCAAATTAAATCATGGTAAATATATTTAGTCAAAATAAAATTTACCAATTAATTCTTTATTTATTTTATAATTATTATTAATATGAATATGAATATGAATATAGTGGTTTACAGTCTTGGTGATTTCATCATGTATTATGACACACATGCAAACAACAAAACATACTATAGTAGAATCATATTGATACCACACATTGATGATTCCCAAGATATTTATATTAAAATTGAGTGTATTCTTGAATTTAATTCATTACCTTCAGTGCTAAAATCCAAGCAGAGAAAAGTTGCTTCTTGTAATGGACATCTGTGGATGACAGATAAAACATTAATTATTAACTCTATAAATATTAAGTCTAAAGTATATATGGTTAATGGATATTAGCAAACCCACAAACTATCAATATTCTATTGATGAAATTGTATATAAAATAAATGGGCAATGGACTAAAAGACCAATTGATTTATGACATCATCATCCTATTGAGTATGTCACCATTCAAGATCCTCCACATGGTCTGCCAGTACTTAAATTTTTTCTAGACATTTATATTGACAAGTTTGGTCCATTTCGTAATGCATATCATGCCATTGGTGGCATTTATTTACAGATTGGCAATATGAAACAAGTTCTTCATCAAAAGCTCAAAAACCATTTTCTTCTTGGGTTTATTCCTTTCACAGCCACAAGTGATAAAGTACTTCAACCCCTTATTGATGATATTCAAGAACTTGAACATGGGTATAAACTGAAAATTAATAATCAACATGTATGGGTTACAGGTGGATTGGGAGTATTACTAGTGATTTACCAGAAGGTAATGAACAGGCAGGAATAAAAAACCACAATGCACATTATGGATGCCATAACTGTATGATTCACCATAATAATTTACATGATATTACTTTTGACATTTCAAAACATGGGCGGTACCATCATAAGACTACATTGCAGTTTGCTGCTATGAATGATGCTCAGACTCAAATTGAACAGGATTTCCTTGCAACAGAATATGGTATCTGAGAGAAACCTCCTATCTTTGATAAAATTATACATGATCGTCATATTCAATGCCCACATGATGCATTTCATTGTATGGGTGGTCTAGCTAAAGAAATGCTTCAAAAAACTTTTGGAATATTATCTACAACAGGGGGAAGATGAATTTTTGAAAATTTGGCACAACTTTGAATTTCCTTCAACTTGGGCCCGTCAACAAAATCCAATTACCCATTTAGGTTCATACTTCTTTTCTGATTATCTTCATCTAAGTATGATAATGCCATTTCTTATTAATCGAGCAATATCTACTACCATGTTAAATAAGGCATTCATTGAACATTTGATCACATCATGTGCCACTACAAAAAAACATACAGTAGATCAATTGTTAAGTTTATGTGTATCTTTTTCTAAAATGGCATTTCTAGTATTTCGCAAAGAACTTTCTGAGACTGATTATAATAATCTGCAACAAAGTATAATGGCATGGGCTGTACAGGTTACAAAAGTAAGTCACATGCACAAAAAACTACATAATCAATAGCAAAATAGGATTTTACTGAACACATGATAATGACTAAGTTTGCATGTAATGTTTTTTATTTCTACTAATGTGTCTTTTTTTGTGAATTTAGATTTTTCCTAGTGTTTACTTGACTACCAAATTTTCATATTCTACACCATTTTATTATGCATGTAAATAACTTCGCAACTTTAGTAAATACTGCAGTTTCTACAAAAGAAATGATTCATAGATTATACAAGGTAAAGACTAGTGCCGTAAATTATGATGATGGTAGTAATTGTATTTACGGCATATAAAAAGTGGTTGCAATTACCTTTGCGACCACTTTTGCAACCATACTTTTTCCTTTTTTGGATTACGGCACTAGTCTTTAATACAAGGCCATTATTCCTCATTCTAACAAAAAAAATATTGAGCTAGATTTTGTATGTTGTGATAACTGCCTGCAAACCTTACGATTTTTACTAGATGGTGGTGTTGATGAAAGATATGATGTAACAGAACAATTTAATTTTAATATGCTATCAAAAGATCAATGTGTGAGCACACTTCTTAGTTCATAGTACATTTCACCATCAACAATTGATTTAGACCAAGAAGATAATTCATCATCACCTTCACAAATAACATGTATGAATGAAAATTATATTAATGTGAGAGTTTGAGGAATGTACAAAAAGCATGATCTACAAACTGCTGACCTTGAAAATACTCTTAATGATGATTTATTTGCAGAAATTGGGTATGCATATCAAGAACAACTTAATTGTATTGAACATCTTGCATCACAGAAAGTAAAATACTTTAAAAGTATTAGTTATACCATAATTGATGATGATGATTGGATTGATGTAAATCTTCATGTTGGTGATATTATTGATGTTCTGGAGGATATATCAAATAATGAAAATACTGGAATAAAAATGATTATTTCATATGCGTGAATTCAGGCAATTTTCCTTCACACCAAAGACCAATTAGAAATTCCTTTTCTACTATTAAATTGGTTTATTTCATTAAATACTAATGATCCAAAATTAGGTTATCCATGTTATAGACTCCAGCGATCAGCTGATCAAAAATGGTGTCAAATTGGCTCGTAATTGGCTGCCAGAATTGACTGCGGCTCAAAACCCTGCCGGATTTTGATGTAATATCTCATGATTTAAATATAAATAAAATATTCTACATAATAAAATTATTTTATTTTATTCTAATTCCTATCATTACAATTTTGAAAACATGGTTTTTGTTCACAAACATGAGGAAATGTAATATGTATTTTTGTACTTAACACACCATCAGGACAATACCTTTTTAATGGATGTTCTTTTTTATC